CGTTAATGTAGGAGATCCTTTATATCCACGCGTAGGAAGGAGAATGAAACAAGACGAGGGAAAGAGATGCGGCGAGAAAAGGAAGCAAAACGAGATGGTGGAAGAGTGGGTGATGGAAAGAGCGAAAGGGTGGGTTGTGTGGGTGTACGAACGAGTGAACGAGGGTGCAATAGAGATGGACAAAGGGGAAAGAGTGGCATGGAGAGGAAGAGAGACGAATGGAAGGGAAAATGAATTCTCGTTGGCAGTCAGATAACCCGGGGTACGATCGATCGGAATATCTGCCGGTCCGTTGGCGTTACACACACCGCTTACATAGAAACGCGCTTATATATAGAACATCGGCCATGTGCCGATGAGAGAGAGAGAGGCGAGCGCCGCGCGCATACGTACCTACATACATACATATGTACGAATGTCTACATAAACGCGTCTGCGTCTCTTTGCGAACGACGGGACGCGTGTACTATTCATGAATGCGTATACAGGGTGGCGCGATTTAACCGCGTCGCCACTTTTCAAAGAATGATAGAAACGAAACTTTTTCTCTAGCACTTGCTGGATTAATTTTTTTTTTCATTCTCCTTTTTTCCTCTTTTTTCTTTCTCTTTTTCAATTTTCTTTTTTTTCTTTTATTCTTCCGAATCGTTTATCTTCAACACATTTTCTTCTCAATTATTAATCGTTAATCTATTTCAATGTTTCTCAACTTATGGATCACGCTTATAAATAATTTTTTTTTTTATACAGTTATATATAGATTATATTACAATTTTGAGACCGATATCATTAATGGTATAAAATAATATGAAATGAATCACGTGAAAAATAATCTTAGCGTAAAAAATAATTTCGAATCCTATTTAGAATGATAGAAACAATTTAGCTTAAAGCTTTTTTTTGGGAAAGAATCTCGAATTGGAACTGAAAGTTATTCTTTCATATAACGGGGTATAAGTCTGAATTTTTTACGCAGAAATTTTTAGTTTTTCCCATTATATCTTCCCAGTAAATAGGACGTTATATTTAAATTACAGTTCATCTACAAATAGCGATATTTCAGTCAAATTTAAACAATCGCACACTGTTATCGAGTGGGGTGTTATTCCCAGATCTCTTTAGACACCAATTTGTCTGCAATTATTCATAGTCGGACAATTCGACTTGGTCGATAATGAAATTTATCCGAGGAATCTCGACTCAAACGTCACCCTTTCTCTAATAATGTTTTGGAAAGGAATGGAAATTCTAGAAATAAGAGTTAATTGCCAAACGAATCGATCTGGAGCGGAGGAGGAATGATGATGAAATTACTCGTTATTCGTCCGTCTGGAAAGTTTGTGCGAATCGAATTCTCCGACGATCCGATCGAGAGCAACCAACCGCTCGAGGATAGCGGTGTGCTAATGGGCGTGAATACGCGACTGTTATCAGTCGTTGTCACTTATCGTGCGTCAAGGTACGAACAGACGGATCCCTTCTGACTGTCAATACCTCATCGAGATACTTGACTTGCATGCGAGTCAAGTATGCGCATAGATAAAACGAGCCACGTCGACCCACGTATCTCTGCAGTGGTTATTGTCGCATGTCAAAGTCGAGTAAACGATACGCCAGTTACGTTGATTCGTTCACGATCGGATAAACAATTTCTTCAACGGTATTTCGTATTTCTGCAAACTTTTGCGTACTAATTTTTTCCCGATTGGAGAAAAAAAAATTAATAAAGGGGAAATTGAGAAAGATTGATCAAAGATTAGAGAATCTCTGGGGAATGAAATTGAGGGCAATGGAGGAAAGTGCGAGCGATAAAAAAAAGGGGAGAAAAGAGGGGAAGGTATTTCGTCGAGATTTCTGGGTAGGATAAAATGGCGAGGATAGGGGGAGAGGGGGGAAGAGGGGTCTGTAGCATGGGTGGACCAGTTTACAGGCAGGAAAGAGTAACCGGTATCCCAGAGAACCGGTTGGCCACGAAGGTAGGCGGTAAAAATTGGTAAACAAGTGAGGCTGGCTTTATCGTACCACCCTTCGTGTCTGCATACGCTATCGATCAAAAGTTTGGCTGTAGCGTATCGTGAAACGTTACAAAATGGAGCGTGAACGTTTGATCGTTCCTAAAGTTTCAATCCACGTAGGAGAATAGAGTAGTAGCGGGTCATTGGCTATTTCTCTGTAAACTCGATTTGTATTTGGCACATTTACGATTCAAGTTTTATAGCCATCCGTCCGTTCGACGATGTTTAACCTTTTAATTTTATTTTATTTTTTTTTTTTTTTTCTTAACGTATCGTATTTTCGAACTCGAATTTTTAGGTTTATAAATGTTAAAGGTAATCCAAGTGAAATTGATTTGTGTGGATTAATCCTCTGATTCCAAGATTATTTCAAGAGAATATTAATGGAAGAATAAATTAAATAAATTATATTATCGTGTCTACATTGAAGAAGCGAAAGTAGTATCATAATCTATACGGGAGCTCGCGAGCAGTTATAGAGTTGATTACACGCCAAGAAAATTGTTACAACTCGTTCACCCTAATTCCGAGCTGGCCAGTCAAGTCCTTGTCTGAAAATAAATTGCGATTTTTATTGAAACATTGTTTATTTACACTTAAACGGGTTATTTATATTACACATTTATATATTTATTACTATTTTTTATGACGCAATATCAACTTAAAACACGAATATCACACTAGCGAAAATTTTGCAAGAAAATTATATACGATCCCGTAAAGTTAAAATTTCGAAAGTTAAATTTACGACAAATCAAATTTTTCAGAGCAGAAACAACTTGTTCCTCGTCGTTTCTATCTTTCAATCTTAAAATATAAAATTAAGAAGCTCCAACGATTAAATATTCACATTATCGTGTCAAACGTGTTCACGGGATATATGGACAATATATTATCGTAACTATTATCGAAACTAATCCGTGTTACTCGTTAACCAAAACTCGGCTATCCTCGATTAGTTGTGCGTTAATACACGTTGATCTTTTCCAATTACATAGGTAACCACTTAAAGCACACCGTGCACACTGTGCACTCATACATCGTAATCATCGTCGGTGCACACTTTCGACTTTCCGTGTACCCATTAATTAGATTAGCATATGCCGGAAAAAGGTGCTGTCTGCCTATATCCGCCTGCGGCGACGATATCACTGGTGGAGGTTACCCGTTAATGGCATTATGAGATCATCCGTGAGCAACTGCAACGCTCCGCCTAGAGTGCACATCCCTCCACCTCCACTACTACACGACCCCGTTACAATGCTCTCTTATGCGCCACTTTTATCGTTATCGAATCTGTTTACAAGCGTCCATATGATCTCGCGCCAAAACTTTATCCATTGAATCTTATATTTTTACGCAATTTTTATCATTCGAACAATTGCGATCGAATCGTTAAAAAAAAATGGCAATAAATCATCGAGGAACCATCAAGGAATCGATAACGGTTGTTGGACACGCGCGTGTATATGTATATATATATACGAGCGACGAAACATCAATAATTTGGTCGTCCGGGATTCCTCGGTCGGCCCACTTATTCCGCATTCTTGGTGCGGGTATCCTAGAGTCGACCCTACGCCACTGGCGCACCAACGACGACACAAAGCCCGGAGCGACGGCGCAAACTATTTATTTCATGAGCTTCCCCCTCCCTGCCCCCTTCCCCCGCGTGGACGACCGCCTCCCCCTTTTAATGCTCGCCTGTGTATACACGAGTCGTAGATCACCGGCCGGTGCTACATAAGGGGAAGTGGTCGGTATGTGAGGAAGGCACATGCGGAGACTACATAAGGGGACACATAATGTGCGTGGCCATGTGCATCCGGCGGAATGCGACGGCCTAGGTGAAATGTCTGGTCCCGTGCCAGAGACTTTAACCTCGATTCACAATAAAACAGGCTGGAATCTTCTTTTCTGGCATCGAGGCTAAAAGAGAGAGAGAGAGAGAGAGAGGGAGAGAGGGAGGGAGATCGTCGCGACCTGTCTCAGGCATATTCTTTCAACCGTGTTGCCGAAGGGAAACGAGAGCCGCGTGGAAAAAATAGGGTTATAGATACAGGAATAATCCTTCCGCCCAGGCTATTCCCATCGATCGATAATATTTCTCCTCTTTCTCTGTCTTTCTCTCTGCTCCTCGAAACCCGATGGAACGAATATCGAGCCGCTTCGAAACTCGAGAGTTGGCCGTTCAAAGTCCTCTTATCAGAGGCAATCTCATCGGAGGCAATTCCCGATCACCTTTTCGTATATTCACGACCTACACCGGCTTTTAATTTCTCTTGAGGCGGTCTATCTATTTGTCTCTTTCTTTCTCTCTCTGTCTTTCTCTTTCTTTCTCCCTTCGAGTCTCGAGAATATTCGCCGATAATCCAACCGCGCGTATCCTTTCCACGCTCGTAAATTCGCCTACGTCCCGCCTTCTTTCTTATTTCCTTCCTCACCGTACCTACACACGGTCGCCTCGACGTTTTTGTCGCGCGCGTTTGCGGTTGGCAAGAAAAGAAAAAAAACACTTCCACGAATATTCGAAACATTGTTCGAAAGAATATTAACGTCGAATTTTTGTTTTAGAAACTATGTACACCACTCCCTCGTGAACTATCTATATTTTGGTATTAGAATTTGCTCGGATCACCCTGTATACGGAACGCTGCGAACGGCGTTTATCTCTAGTACCGTCCGCGCTGTCGCGTTTATCTACGGTAATAAATGCGCCGGTTGAACAAAGACGCGGACCGCCTGAACCCCGTTTATTCGCAACCCTGTCCAAGTTAGCCTCGTCGCGTGACTTTACGACCGGGAACAAATGGGGCCAGACTGACGTTACGATCATGCATCCGCAGAAGAAAATATAGGCGTAGTAAAGGAATGCTTCTGAATCGAATATTTTATCGAGGATTTTATACCATTAATTTTCATCGTTATTTTAATATAAATCGGACGGCGATGGTTGAGCTTGTTTTTCCTTCTTGTGTGTTCCAGCCGAGACCTGGAAGGAGGCCCCGAGGACGTCCTGGAAACGCCACACAGTTGCACACAGCGCCTAGGATACAAAGCCCTATTTCTCAGCATCTCGAGAAAGGTAGGCACTCTAAATATGAACATTCGTCATTCGGGCGAATCGAGAAGGATGGGATTAAAGCAAACGTTGGCAATTATTTAGAAAAACTTTTTCTTTTTGCTCGCTGATTTTAATGATTTTAAAATTGGAAAAGATTGCTATTATTATCTATTGTTTCTGTAAACACATCTCGTCCAAAATATATAACGTAAATATATAATGTTAATTAATAATCAACTATTTATCGGTAAAGAGGTATTCCAAGAATTCTTCGAATTCGAACGGAATGCGAAAATAAAATAAACAATTCTTAGGCAAGCGAAATTACGATAGAAACGAAGTACGAGATATCGTGTGCTTATCTTATACTTAATATTTACGATCTAATAATCATTTCTATTTTATTTTCCACGATATACAATTCGAGGAAACGGAATATGTTATATGTACTCTCACACAAATAGCAATCTTTTTTATTTTAAATTTCGAAAACTAAGTTCTCGATATAAAAAAAATTTTTTACACAAAAAAAAATCATCGAAATGAGAAAGTTTCTTTTTTAATGAACATTTACCAAAATTTATCTAACTCGTAATCTTCTACGATACGAGTGACGAAGATAGAGAAATGAGTAGAATAGAATCGTAATAAAGATCGGGGAAGATTCATTGATTAAACTGGTCGTAAGTAGAGAGAGCGAGATGGAATTAGGGCTTAAAGTGCATCGCCCCTCTGGGGGCAAGAAGGGGGATTTGGGAGGAGGGGGTGCGCGTATAGAAAAAGAGCAGGCCGTGAAAGGGAAAGGAGAAGTTAAGGGCGGGACGGAATAGAGGGGCGAAAAAAAGGTTGAGTGGGAAGGATGGAAAAGATATCTGGGTAGGCAGGGAGGCGCGCCAAGGGGAATAAATGATTCGAGGAACTATAAGAAGAACCGGTCCACAAACAAAAGACTCGTTGCCAGGTCTGGTTGAATCTCTGGTTTTAAGGGACGAGGGGGGAGTGAAGGGAATAGTAGGAGGGATTTCAGCTAGGAAGGAAGTGCTGACTCTCGAGGCGGGAGAGGTTGCCGATGTTGATGGAACGAAATTGTGGGATTCTGAACCTTTTGTCCGAAACAAACACTTCTCGGATCCATCCGTGTTGTTTCGTTTTTTTTTCTCTCTCTCTCTTTCTCTTTTCACCCGTTCCTTATTATCGTTTCTCTAGGTTACTCGAACTTTTAACGCCATTGTTATTCCTTCCTTCCTCTGTTATTACGTAAGATCATTTGCGTAGCGGTTAATAAACCGATCGAAATATTTTTTCGTCCTATTGAAATCATTTCTGTGTCATCGAGCGCCATCTTTTTGTCACGGATGAGACAAATAACAGTTCGAAAGTTATTATTACACTTAACAGAAATATAAATTATATAGATTTATAAATAATTCGAGGGATAATTTACTTTAAATTATAATTAAACCGTCGTTCGAAAAATCATTGTCCCGATCGTTCCATTAATGAAAATTAATAATTAACGCGATAGATCAACGATCTATTTGGTACAATAAGATATTATTTATACCTCATCGCAAATTTAATCCGTCCAAAAAATTCAGTTATGCGTCAGATTATTCGAATTGTTAAATATTAGGCGGTTAATTTTAGGCATCCTTAATGAATTAAAATTAAATCAATTAAGGATTCGAGGCGCTTTCGTATTCTTGGCTGCTCGGCGAATACCTGAATAATTGACACGCTGTCCCGTATTTTAAATGTCAAATTTAAACCAACAACCAGCCCGTACAGTGAAGTGAAATTTCAACTGTAATCCGATTTTCGTCGCGGCATTGCTCCCCAATTACGGATACCGGTATAGTATATTTATCAACGGAAATTGGCCCCTACAATATGATTTACCCCAGGAAATTAACGGAAAGACCACCACTGGGCCCGGACGGTCGGAAGCCATTCCCTGAATGCTACTTAAGCAAAATCATTATCGGCAGAATTCTATTTTCAAATCTCGGCTCTTCCCAACGGCCAGTTTGCTAAATTGCTAAAATTATTTATCCCACAGTTGCATTATCTATTCATAGCCATTGAGGAATAAATTTCATTCTGTTGTTTAACTGTCCTGAGGCTTGGCACATTGTCATTGACGTGTTGGCCACTACCACCGGTGATCATCACCGGTGTTACTTAATCTCTTGAAATAAACTTGAATGTAAATTTTAAATAACTTTGTCGTGTAAAAGTACTATTCAATAATAATAATAATAATAAGAATAAGAATAATAACAACAACGCAATGCAATTGCCCCTGAGAAATTGTTGAACGCGTGAATATACGAAATAAATAATTGATTGTTGAGAAATACTATGAATATCAAAGTATAATGATATTGATATCTGAGTACAAAGAGTACAAAAAAAAAAAATAATAATAATAATAATTAGCATTTCCTTTCTATAAAGAATGAAAAAGCAAATCCTTAATTAAAATTAACGGTTTCAATGCCGTTGATATAAAAATAGTCACGGTGTCATGCACAAAAATATAATCGTAAAATATTTCTAAAAAATATTTCTTTCAATCCGTTGTTTCTCGCATCGCTTTTCTTCCATCCACCTCTTAGATAATTTACATTTCAAGAATTGCATTCAACAAACAATTACTTTATTGTTCAAAACTTATGAGACAGTGGATTATTAGAAAAAAAAAAAGGAAAAAAAATTAACAAAACGTTTTCCCTTTCATCGTCGTGAAAGAGGCAATTCTGGTGTCTGAAAACCATCGACTGCATCTTTTTCTTTTTCTTTCTCCTTTTCTATTCCCCGCAAGAAACAGCAGGAAGTCTAAAGAGCGCCGAGTGCATCGCAAAAGTCCCCTTACGTCACCCGGTCAAATATAGCCGACTCGATTGCTCTTCTATTTCTCCATCCTCGTTTCCTCCGTGTCCACTCGAGCCTGTAGAGCACTTGGCCGTGCACAAGATCGCCTCTAAACCCCTCGAAAGCGCGGGCACCGATGCGAAAACTTGGCCGCGTGTTTCACGATCCTGCCCAATGATGGAGATTCCGCGCGATCCCCGATTTCATCCTTCCAAGATCCCGCCCCATTAAACTCGTTCGAAATTGTTCGTTGATTATTGGGATGAAGTGGATTATACATTTTGGATAATTGAGAAGAATTAATTTTTCATAAGATTTAAATCTCGCCAGCAGTCGTAATGTAATTTCAATATTTTCAAAAAATGAAAAAGAAATTATTATGTCATATGTTAACAAAAATTAATATTTCTATAATCTTGTTTATTAATTATAAATGGATCGAAACTTAGATGAAAGAAGCGTAACTCGCTTAAAAAAATTAAATCATTTTGAATGAGTATCATTGTAGAATCTTTACTTGGAAAATAATAAAAAAATTCTCGAGGAATATTTCCATCCATTCCGAAATAACGCGTACATCCATTCCATCCCATTCTCTCGCGAGAAAGAACGAGAACGCGAGGGGCGTTATAATTCTCCCAGGATCAAAAAGTCGAAAAATAGAAGAAGAAGAAGAAGAAGAAGAAGAAGAAGAAAGGGAAAAAAAAGAGAAAAAGAAAAGAGATCTGGAAGAATGGAATTTCGAGTTGCATCGGTCCTCTCGCCGCGTGGAAAGGCAAAGAAATTTATGCGATCGTTCCAGGAACTTATCCAGTGTTTCACGAGCAGCAAAGATTCAAAAGCAACGATCTTTCTTTCCGCGAGGTATACGAGGTGGTGGAGGCACGCGCTAATAAAGTAACGAAGGGGGCCCCTTTGAAGTGCGTCGCTGTAATTCCTCGCTTCGCCCCGTCGCTTTCTTCTCCTCCTCCCCCTCCTCCCTCCCTCCCCTTTTTCTCCCTCCAAAAATAAACGCGCCGCGTAAAACGCGAACCGGATGACACGTTGCTGAAAATACAACCGCGCCGAGGCCGCTGCCCGTTCGTTCTCACAGCGATGATACTTGGTCGTGGTGATCCTCTCCGTTGAAATTCTCGGGAGGAGAGGGGGAAGAAATAATTAAATTCCGTTGTGTAAATTCTGGCAAGAGCAAAGAAGAAGGAAGAAAATGAATGGAAGGAAGTTGGAAATGATTGGTGATGATCATTGTCTGTACAGGGAGGGGGAGGAGGGTGTTGATATATTCGTGGAAATCTTTCCTTTGAAAGATTCTCGATCATAGAGAACGAATAAAAAATTAAAGTTGGTATGTAAAAATAACGGTTAACGCTTATTTATCAAGTTGCGAACAATTGGTGAAAGTTAAATGAAGTTAAATGAAGCGAGAAAGGGTAGAAAGTGAAGTGGTTGTATACAAGGGAGAGAAAAGCTTTGGCTAACTTGCAACTTTAATTGGTTGTAATTTAATAAATTTGAAAGCCTCATTTTTGTTTCACCAACTCTTGCTTTTGCAACTCTAGAGTATAAAAAGCTGTCACAATATATCAATATTTTGTATATATATTCACAATGTATTCACATTTGTCATTGCTGTTGTGTTGCAAAAAATTTTTCTTGTTATTAGGTGAATGTCAAAATCATTAGAATTTAGAATTTCTTATCGAAACCAAAACCAATGTTTTTATCTTTCATCTTTATATATATTATCATTTTTCGTATCGTATGTATCGTTGAAACTTCTATATAACCTAACCCAATCGTTTAAACAAGATGTCTATTATAATATCCAACGAAATTTAGCAAAAAAACCAAAGCCAATGTTTTTATCTTGCATCTTTATATATATTATTATTTTTCGTATCGTATGTATCGTTAAAATTTCTATCTAACTTAACCTAATCGATTAAACAAGATGTCTATTATAATTTCCTATCCAACGACATTTAGCAAAAACTAAAAAAAATTTTATCCCATTAACTCGTTACGGAAATTTCTTTTACGCAATTAATTTCTTACAGTCGGGTTGCAATTATGCAAAGCGCGCCAAATCCGAGTTCAATAAGAAGAACGGGTGCAAGCGCGGTGGAAAGTGAAGAGAGGAGGAGGAG